TTATTGATTAGGAAATTAGAAGTATTAATTATTGATTTAATTTTTCAAAGATTTATATTTATTTTTATTGATTGTAATAAATATTTATATATGATTTTTTTCCATAAGTATTAATAATAGAATATATTTTAAGACTTTAACAATCCTAAAAAGTAGAGGGAACCAATATAAAATCCACAAGCTAAATTACATTGGAATTACAACATCTAACTATATCAGCGACTTAATAGAAGAAGACAAAATCGTCTTTAAATATAAAAAATAAGTCAAATAAGAATTTTGAGAATATATAAGTAAAAGATTATATAAGGATAATATAACATCAAATTCAAAATATTTAATGATCATGCTTGATTTATTATAAAAAAAAATTAATTAGTATATAATAATAAATAACCAATATCATTTCTTATAGACTCTTTCATTAATCTTCTATCATATAAGGAGCTAAAAAATTAGAACATAAAAAGCAAAGAGTGTAATGTAATTTAATAAAATATAAGTTGATTTTTTCTATTGTAAGAAAATTTTATTTATTAAGATAGTAATTTAATTTTTGAATAGATTAGAAAAACCATATATAAAAGCTAAATGTGATGCTAATAGAAATTAAGTAAAAAAGAAGTATATTATATTATGATTTTTTACAATTACAAACAAGTACATTTTATTTGAAGAAGTTGTAAAACAAATTTCAAACACCACTAAAGTTATTACAATTATTAAATCAATTAAATTTGTAAAAACAGTAAATTTTTATTAAAAAAAACTTTGGAACCAGGTATAGGAGAAAAAATGATTTTTTTTTAAATCAATAAACATCTTTTAAAATAACTAGGTTATTTATCAAGATAACGAAAGAAATTTTTATTTAGACAAAAATAAATAAAGAAATAAATAAAGTAAAATAATGATAAATATATATATATTTTAAATTTTAGATGGACCAAATAAAAATTTGATAAGTAAATCTATCCAAATTGATGTTATATGTCACTAAAAAGAGTAAAACTTACTCTTTAGATCTATAGTTCAAATCGGGATACTTTAGAAATAAGTAGGTCTATAATGCAACATATCAAATGATTTCCTTCTAACTTAGTTTAAAATTTAGAAAAGACTTTTTGGTCATCTTAAATCAAAATTTGATAATAATTTCTATTATTAGATTTATTTTTTCTAGCATAAAACTGAAAATAGACTTTATTATGTAAAAATTAAAAAATCATAAATAAATTCATATTAAAAATAATTTTACACAAACTTCCAGTTTGAATATAAAAATATATAACTCAACTTTAGTAGTGGCTAAAAAAATATAAACTTAGATAAAAAATGGAAGAAAAAAAAAGTAGTAAGTTGGAATATAGTTTATATTTATAATCAAGTTAAAGACAATTTGTATATTAACAATAACTGCAATAATGTTTTGGTATTGTACTTCATATTTGTACTATTTATTTCCACTCTCTCTTTCTCTCTCTTGCTATGCTCTAATAAAAATTAGTCTTTGTTATGAGTTATAATACTTTGATTAATTGCAAGTATTTAGCCATCCTATTTTATCAATGGCCTCAATTCTTTTAACCTAGTTTGTTTTAACCTAAACTTTAGGATGTTTGGTTCTCAGATGGATCAAGTATATTTAATCTCCTTTCTATTATTTAAACCCTATTGGTTTTGTTCTTATGTGAATTGGGCATCTTTAATCTACCTTCTATTATATAAATTCTATTAGCTAAGATCCTCTTTTTGGGTTTTTTTTTTTAAAATGCCCTTAGTTAATTAGAATTATATAATAATAAGACACAAAATGATGGAATAATAAACTTGCTATATTTTGGTTAAATAGAACTATTATGATTAAATATAATTATTTAACCAAAATGTAGCAAAAAACTAGTAGTTTGTTATATCTCAATTAATATATATATATATATATATATATAATATTTTATTATGACATTGTGTGATCAAAAATTAGAAAGGGATTTATTATACAATAAACTAGATGGTAGTATCTTTATTGGAGATTTGATTAAGATAATTGGAATAGTCCTTATATCTAAAAAATCATATAAAAAATAGTCCTGGTTAAATTATTAGAAGTAGCAATAGATAAATGATATTTTTATCTAAGATTAATTATTAGATATTAATTTTGTCTAATGACCTAAATTTTAATTAAAAATATTTTTAATTTAGATTAAGATTATTAAAAAACATAACAATTTTATGTGACTAACTTGGTATAGAAAGGTGGCTATAAATAATTAGTGAGCAAAAGCTAAGGTTGACATATTTTTTAGAATTGTTTTGTTTGTAGATCTCTTAAAGTTAAAAAACTTAATTTTTTTTTTGCAAATCATTTTATGATTGTGGAATTTGGAACTAGGCAAGATCTTTATTGTACAAACTTATGTCTAGTCTAAGATGTTTAAATAAACAAATAAATAAATATATATATATATATATATATATATATATTATCAAAGATGCAAAGAATACATGTTAATAAAATTCTTCTTCAATTTAATTGTTTTAATTTAATGTGATATCTTTTTGACTGATATTTTACATGGACTATGTGGACTTAATAAAAAAAATCATATTTTAAAATGTAAAAAATAGAACAATGTTTTTGTAAAGAAATTAATATAAAAAAATCTAATAAAAAATGATAGAATTCTATTAAAAATCACCTGCAATATCATAGAAAAACAATCAAACATCAGTATAGTATATTTTGGAAAAATAGGATAAATTGAGAATAGTCAAATTTATGATAGAAGAACAAATTGGTATCAAAATTTGATGGAATACTAAAGTTATACAATGAAGTTGTATATTACATGTAGTTGCAAATTAATAGCAAGTAGAACATGTAAAAATCTCATGTTGGTTTTGTAAAATAGGCGAAGTATGTTTGATTTTATTTATTTATTTATTTTCAAGTGAATAAGACTCTAAGATGTTTTTTTTCTTTTTTTTTTAATCTTTTAAGTAAGATAAAGCATTTAATCTGTTTTAATTTTTAAAAATAAAAATCATCATAAAAATAATATTAAATAAACTGATACATAATGCTATCAATTATTTTTTATTTTTTTCACATTACTGAATTTATTACTTTAAAAATATAATTTATATAAAATCTTTTTTATTAATATTTAAGATTATTTCTTTATTTACTTCTTTATTTCAACTTTAATACTAATTTTTTAAGATTTTATTAAAGATATAAAATTAAGTGAATTGTTAAAATATTATATTACATTAAAAAAAACATTATATTGTATAAGAAATTATAACTTACATTCTTTCTTTCTTGATTTGTTTTTAAAAGTATAAACCATATTTTTAAAGTATGTTATATATTCTTTTTGGTGTAATGCATGTTGTTATCTGTGAAAGATTACTGTAGTACTTAGTGCGTATAGCTTCCAATCATTTTCAAGTTGTTGTTAAATGGTTGATAAGCTAAGATCCATATTAAAATGGTTTTTAGAATGCTATCTTTAAAGAAATGTAGTTTCTTAAATAGATTTTAATTAATGATATATGAATAATTATTTTTAAAAATTAACATAGCTATTAATTATTTAATTTTTGAATCATTTTAATATATATATATATATATATATATATATATATTGAGATTATACTTCTAAAGATTTTGACAAATTAATTTTTATTTTATTTTATGTATACTCTTAGAAACACTGAATTTTATTCTTACTTTGCCTAAATTATAGACCCAAGTACAGTATGCATTCTATTTTTGTAAGCACGTATCTATATTTGTATTCATATAATATTATTTAGTATTGAGTATTTATGTCTAAAATAAATTAGTATTTTTAATATAAATTAAATTTCTTCAAATAAATTTTGTGTTTTTAATATAATTAAAATTTTCACTATAATTTTTGTGTATTTTTAATATCAATTAAATTTCTTCAAAAATTATAGTGAAAATTAAAACACCAAAAACTTTGTATAATACAAAACATATAGAAAGAGAAATAAATTATATCTTAAACATCAAATTATTTTCATTATTTTTATTGTAAAAAACTTCTTTAATTTTTTTTTCATATTATATCCTTTAATTTTTAACACATTGGAAAAATGGAACTAAAGGTCATAAGATTATTTGAAAATAATTTAAATACATTAAAATCATATATATATATATATATATATATATATATATATATATATATAAAATACAAAGTAAAACTTGATTTTTTTGAGATCTAATTTTTAAAATAATAATATATTTATAAAAAAATTAATTTTAAATTTATAAATTTAAAAAAAATTAAAGGTGATAATTTAAGCATGTTTTTATTAATTTAGTAAACGCTCTATTCTTATTTTTGAAAATATTAAAATTTTAAGTTATAAAATAGGATAAACTTTAACTAAAAAAATATGTTTATATATGTAGGATATTGCTATTTTCATTGCAACCCTCCACTTATGTAACATGTTTCTTTAGTCTTTTTTATTTCAATCAAAAATTATGTTCAATCAAATGATTTAAAAGATATTAAACAAAGGTGACATGCAATAGATAGAAATTTGTTGCAACAATAGCAAAAATCACAGTGGCATTAATAATACCATATATATATATATATATATATATATGTTTGTGTGTGATCTTATCCAATATAACATATTTATCCATATTATGGTAATATATACATCATAATATATTGATTAATTTACTATATATATATATATATATATATATATATATATATTCATTGTTTAATACATAATTTCAAATGTTTAAAATTATTTTTTATTTACATTTTAGAATTCTATAATTTTATAATTTCAACTATAGTTACATATTATGTAGGTTAAGTTCTATGATGTATATAGCAAAATAAAAAAAATAAAAAAATAGAACCTAAAAAATATTGCAGTTTTGTAATCTTTTACAGTATCTACAAAATTTATAAACATTGAAAAGATAAGCAAGAGAGGAAAAAAAACATGTGCTCTTATGGACCAAATATTTATTTTCACTAGAATACTAACTAAAACACAGTAAAGGCATCTTTACAATAAAATTAACATTTAAAATAAGGTACAAAAAAATGTCTCTAAAAGTCAGAACATTTCTAAGAAAAAGAATAACTGGGATTCACCAGAATGTCTACAACCATTTATATATACTGAATGGCAACACTTCCCACCATTCCATAAAAACCGACAACAAATAGTAATGTACAAGGAGGTGGCTTTACAATGAGACCTGATTCAGTTGAAGACGTAAGCCTGATCGAAGACGCCCTTCCTGCATTCTCATGCACAACACAAGTTACCTGGCTATGGAAGGGAAGAATTACATGCGTGTGTGTGTGTATAATTGTATATATGTAATTATTTATTGATAAAAAACAGACTTAAAAAATGAGGTTGAGTCCGTCATGGTGGGTGACAGATCAGTTGCAGAGCTCGCACCCGTCTTTGCTGGTGTACACGGGATCGTAGTTGTAGATCAAAAATGCCTGCTCTTCCTCATAAGAGGCAGGCTTGTGAGATGATTTCCTTGCTTCACTGCAACCACACAATTCCATTCAGTTACATTAGTGTTGAAGGACCCTACAGCACACAAGTGACGGCGTGAAGACATGCAGATTCACACACATACACATAGACACAATGAAATCTTGTGCAGAAGTGAGCTTGGGGGTGGAGATCCATACGCAATTAGGTAGTTAGCCACGCTTTGAGTGACCCCGATGGCGTCTGCACTGTGAGGAATGTTGTCTACGCCCCACTCGTAAGCATTTTTCTGCAGGACACGATGTCATTTCGTGAAACCACTTATGCAGTGAAAGCAAAGAAGCGATTGAGCTTATCTGCTGAACAGAACTCTGAAAGTTCATACGAGGATAGGGTTTCTGGAGATTTTACCTCGGGATGCCACTGCACACCCAGAATGGGATACTTCCGAGCCTCTACGGTGGATACGTACAGCTACAGCAGCATAAACAGAAGGACAGAGCTATGTCAGATGATTGTCCTGTTGAGTAGATTGATTCGGCTTGTAACGAATTGATGGGAACTTCGTGCAGTGAACTGTGAGAGATGCATGCAAAGGAGCTAACAAAACGGAAAATGATTGTACCTTTTCGTTTAGGTCGGGGGTCACTGTAAGAATTTGGAAGAAATTGTTGAGTTCTGGCGTAGAAATCCACTTTTCTGGTGACAGCCCCCACTTGTGATTTTGCATTGCAAGTTTTTGATCGTTGAGCTCGTCAATGATACGAAGTGGGATCCTGCCCATCAACAGCAATGTAACCAAAGAGGAAAAGTAACCACACTATTTGTGCAATGAGCAGACCTTCTCAAACTACAGTAGCTTCAGGAAGGAGGGATGAGAACCAGAGCGTCATATTCGTGACGTTGGCGGATTTCGAACTTCCTAAATGGTTAGTCGTTGGGTTCACAACTTAAGATAGCTGCTAAAAATTTCTCTGTAGTAAGGCAAGCGTAGATGCTTGGGTAGGCGTTTATGCCCGAATTTCTGCCAAATTTCCTGAAACCTGGTAGAGTAACACAAGTTGGGCTTTAGTCTTACCACTGAAACATACTTTGATGCTTCGCGGAGTCGCCTACGAAGAGTAGAGGACCAGGATTGTTTTCAGCCTCGAACCGCTCCAGGATATAATGATTCTGCAAATTAGTCACGAGTAAGCCTTGGAAATCTGAATGTAGGGGGCAAATGAATGGAACCGTGCATATACTTGAGGGTTTCCAACTAGAGCTGGTTGATCTTGTTTAAGATCAACAAGAACAAGCCGGAGAAAGGATACCCACCTTGCTCACAATTATACTCAAAAGCTCAAAGCCAAGACAGACGCCGTAGACGGGGAAGTGATCTCCGCGGTCATTTGCTTCAATGGCCCACTGCACCAAAATTACACGACAAAACGAAATTTAATGCCCTCAATTCCCAAAGATACCAACTCTGTCCAACAATATCAACAAAAAGACATAAAACTTCAGCAATTCCCAAGTGGCCAGTAAATTAACAATTGGAGCAAGGCGGAGGATTACGTTGAAAAGCTTCTCAGCAACACGATAGAAGGGGGTGTCCTTCAAGCTGGCTCCACCTCCAGGAAACAAAACTCCATTTATTGAGGCAAATTTCTGAAAAATCGAAGAAAAGCTCACAATGATTCCCTGAAAAATACCTCGTATGATACTATCACAGAGAATGGGAACAACACGCATGATGCTTGGAAGAAAACCAGTTACAACATCCAACCACTTTTCCACAAAATGGTTGAGTCTTTCTCTCATAAACGCACCATGCAAGAATCTCTGTACGCAAGATCCTAGTTCTAAGACAGGTGGAGGGTGAGACCTTTCTGAGAGTCTCCTCGGGCTCGTTCCAGATCAGCGGAACAGCCCGAGCGCCCCCCATCTCCACGAACTTTACATATGAGGCAGCGATGTAGGACGTATTGTAATCAGGAGGCAGTGGTCTGCTTGTGAGCTGGTACTCTTCTCCATCTCCAGGCTGCGAGAGAACCCCAATCAGAGGTCTGCTGTTGAGAAGCGCCTCCGGGAGGATTTCTTGGCGTTGAGACGGTAACTTGATGCCAGGGATGCGTGCCCCAACGATAGCACCGCATTGTAGAAGCACCAGGTACAACAGAGCCGACGCGCGCATGGCCATCATTTTAGCGCCTCCTCAATACCAAAAATATGACCCGCAAATTCAAAATCCTGGGCAACACTTCGGGGTCAGCTAACAAAAGAAGGAAGCAGTCGACATGGGAAGTGTTCTACACTCCTCCTCACAACGTCACCCACACAACCAAAGTGGGCTTGCTTCAACCCGGTGCTCCAAAATCTCATCGCCTTTCAATCACGAGCGTCGCCGGCTTGTGAAGTCCATGTCAAAGGTACGAGGCATAATCCGTTGTCGTATAATTTCATGTGAATAATGTCCACCGCGAGAGCACCTCACGGCCAGCCGTTCAAAGACAGTCTCCAAGGAACGAGGCAACCGTTTCAACCATCCAATCGGGATTCGGACCCGATGCCGACTCCCATATTCAAGGGCCAGCTTCCAGGGATGAAGAAGGAGGCGTATCAAAACAAAACACGTCCTTGTGGCAGCACCAGTCGGTCTCTCGGATGATGATTCCTGCGAGACCCATGACGATGAGGAGCGTTCGATTCCATTCGATTCAACACCACCGAAGCAACCCATTGATTCCTTCCTTGCACACACCGTGTCGTGTGTGTTAATGTTAACGTGAGGGAACCGGATTCCTCAAAAAAGGGACGATCGAGTGGGGACCCACTTGCTAGATACCAATAGTGACGCCAAATCTTGACTTGTCTACGACGGAATCAGGTACCGATGCGGATAGTCGCATTGGGAGCTGAGCCTCCGACCAACAGTGCAGACGTCCAGGCATCGGCAATGGAAGATGCCTGCTTGCTTGCATGCATGAATGAGAGAGAGAGAGAGTGCAGATTTTTGCGTCGGTGACTTTTGCTGAATTGCGTGGAGCGTCGTCGTCGCGAATTGCGATGACGGGGGTGGTGGCTCGCATCGATCGAAGCTCGGCAGCGCCGTCGCCGACGATCGGTGCCTAAAGTAAATTTTCTATATTCTCACACACACACTGTAATGCAGTAATTATGTCTTTATTCGTTTACACTCAACTCAAAGTGTAACAGTGCAAACAAATTCTCTAGTGAATTCAGAGCCTAATACTGGAATCTCCTCTTACATACAGACACTTTCTAAATTGCTTCCTTTACTAACTACTCACAACAACACAATGAATCTCAACAAGTAGTAAGATAGTAGAAGAATCCTAGGTTATGTGGATGTAGAATGTGAATGGATGTTTCATCCAACACTCCCACTCATCCAAAAACGGTCTGCAAAGAATGCTAAGTCCTCTACTCCCACTCATTCTTGTAGAATAATTGGAAGCCTAAAATTTGTTGTTAGTAAACACCCAAGAGAGTGATTTGAATACACAATAATATTCTACTAACAATTTTCTTTTGAATCATACTTTGTAAGGTGTGAAATCACCAAGTTGGCAATCAATAGTTATGTTGAGTAAGTATACTATTATATTGACAATTTTAATCCAAAGTTTTAGAAGAAAGTCTTTTGCATGGAACAAACATTAGGCCATTTTAAAAACTAAGCAATTATCTTGTTCAATATAGCCGTTTTGTTGTAGTGTGTAAATTATGTTGGTTTTTTTTTTGTTCAATTTGATTTTTATTAAGGAAGTTGTCAAAAATATTATAATAGAATTCTTGTCTCTAATCCATCTGTAAGGCAAGTATGTTTTATCCAATGTCTCCTTTCACAAGATTAACCACTTATTAGAAGAAAGAGAAGGCTTTTAATTTGTGTTTTGCAAAATGAACAAAATAATATTTGGTTGCATCATCTTTATACAATATATAATATAAAGAACCATTAAGGGAGGGGGTTTGTGTTTTCTTTCCTAAATCATTGCCATGGATTAATTGACCTAAAATTGTACAACATTGTTTGGTGGGGTTATGCTTGTATATTGATTTGCATTGCTTGCCTTTTGTATAGTCTTCACAAATGCAAAAAAGAAATTATTTTGTTGTCTAGTTTAAAATCCAGTAAATTAATACAAGTGATTATGCAATGAATAGTAGGTACATTGACGTGACCCATGCATTTATGCCATAATCAGATTTTATGAATAAAAAAAGAACTGCAAGTAGACAAGGCAATATTATTTGTGTGCAATGAAGGAACATAAACTGGTTTTACATAATAAAGGTCAAAACAAAATTGTAGTTTGGGAAATAATTGAAAGAAGTTGTATCAATTGAATGGATAATTGATATAACTTGCATAATTGAGTAGCTTCCAACACATTCTTGCCACTTTGTGTTTGAAATTCACATCAGCCAGGATATGTTATGAAACATAAGATATATAAAACATCATGGATAATCGCATTCTGATACTAGCTATTAAGCAAGCATTTTATGTGAATATTGTTGCGTCCATGAATCCGTAGTTTGGTGTTGTCGGCAATTTAAATAGTATGAATGCCTTTAGGAATGTATTTAAGTTTTGAAAACCGATTGTATCAATTAGTCATGAGCTTACTTGCATTTCTATCCAAAAAGCCATGTATCAACAAAAGATTCTGCAACATAATAATTGTTACAATAAAAATAATATTACCATGTGGTAAAATATTTGAGCGAGTAAAGAAAGCATGATCAACTTTGATGTTTCTTCCTCCTTGGCACTATAGAAGCCTTTCATGCTAAAGGAGGCGCTCTTTGAGACTATCCATTGTTTGATTATTTTTTGAGACGTTTGATCAAGCAGCTATAATATTGTTGTAGCTCGGTGGAAGATTGTAAGTTATTTTTGAAATAATCATCTTCTTAAATATGGTATGTCTAAGATCTGCAAGTATCATTGTCATATCAATAATGCTTTAAATGTGGAATGAATTATCTTATATAATTTGTATCTTGTAGTCAAAAAACTTTCTTTGGAGAGTGAAAATATTTTCAGGTGTTTTTTTTCAAGTGAAGAGAATATAATTTCTATCACATTGCAATAATTGTAGAACAACTATTCTATTTTCTAAGTATTTTTTGAGTAATGGATTTACTAATAGACATTCTTGGGTTGGGATTTTTTTTTTCATCCCAAGCATCAATTGCCACTTCATCATTAAGAGTGAAAAATGTTGGTTTAATAACATGTTGCTTCTAAAGACCTTAAACAATATTTTGAAACTTTCTTTGATTCAAAAATGATTTCTATGTGATACTTCTAGACTTAGAATTGAGTATTGTCAAACATTTTGATGAGAATATTATCATGTTTATCAATGCTAAAAAGAATTGTAAGAATGAGAAAGAATATATAATGTAAACTATAGAATGAATTACAAAAAGAAAAAATTCTTGTAAGATGTTCTTGATTCAAAAGAGTAAGGCTCTTGTTTCTTGTTTTGAAAGAATAATGAATAAAGTAGAGAAATATGAAAACCTTCCATAAAATAGAGAGTTTTGCAAACAGAATTTTGTCACAAAATAAGAATTCAATGAAAGAAAGAATTGTAAAATATATTACAATGTACTTATTGGAAAGAGTCCATAACCTTAAGAATATTTTCTACATTCTTGTACATACATATAGTAATGTAGTAATCATGTCTTTATTTGTTTATACTCAAAATATACCAATTCAAACAAATTATTTTATAACTTTGAAGCCAAATAGTAGAATCTCCTCTCTCTTTCATACAGACACTTTTTAATTATTTCTTCTATAAATTACTTACAACAATGCAATAAATTTCAATAAGTAATGAGGTAGTCAAAGAATCCCAGATTTGATGGATTTAGAATGTAAATAGATGTTTCATCAAAAAATACCCACTTCATTAATGTCCACATGTTGTATCTACAATCTTAACCTACCTCGTGTAAAGCTCAGTTTGTTTGTGAGCAAATGTTGCTCTGTAAATTCATAAATGAAATAAAATAGAAAAGAGAATTTTCTTAGAGAATACATTTGTGATGGTTGAATGCAAAGGATGTCTTTGAGAAATTAGGGAGAGAGGAGGGAAGAGAACTAATATTAATTCATTGGTTGAATGAGTATGTTATGCTTTTATTGAAGAAAGATTTCATTCCATATGAAGAATTAAAAGACATTCTACAGTGTATGGCTTTATTTTATTTTTTTGTTTTCAGAGTAAAGAAGTCTTATCATGTAATGGATGTTATTTTGACAATTTTTTGACATTTGGCTCCAATTTTTCTAAAAACTTTTTATCTACTTTTTGAATGGATCACACTTTTATTCTATTTAGATATTGTTTTATTTATTAGATATTAATTGTTAAAGTTTAGTTCTATGGATTTAATTAAAGTCCTGAATATCATAGAATGGTTAAATTTAAACTTATAGATTATTTATATCTTATTTCAAAATAGTAACAAAATAAATTATTTTTGACAAGATATATGTAAATAGGACATGATTATTGAATAAACATGTATAAAATAGGTAGTTTTTGTTTTAATAAATAATAATATACAAACATGTGAAAATAATCTTTAATTTAAGATAGGAATGTGTAACTATTGGTTGTATTATGTAAAATAATATATATATATATATATATATATATATATATTGTGGAAAAGGAATAGCAAGAAGAAACTTAGATACTTAGATATTTGGATGCTAATACTTAAGCCTTGTAGTTCTAGTAAATGACTCTACATAAACTTTGTGTTATTTAGTGTGTTCAAAGAAAAGACTTAGATTATTTTTTATCTTGTCAATTACTATCTTGTGTTAAAGTCTTAATTCAAGTCTCTTTATGTTTTTATATAATATAAAATATTATCTTCAAAGTAATAATCTTCTTAGTTATAAAATATCTTTGTTATATTTTTAAAACTTTATTTAGATTTGTGTCTTTCAAAAAACAACATATAAAAAAATAAATATAATTTTTTTGTTAAAAGATTTCAAAAAGTAATATTTAATTATACAAATGTCACAATATCTAGATACATAGTTATATAGATGAATATGTACACTTAAAAAATGAAAAAAGATTTTACAAACTCATAATACATATATTCTTGATGTATAAATGTATTAAGAATTTTTATAAGAATTTTTATAAATAACCTAAAAATATAATTTTTTGACATTTGAATTTTTTGACATGTGGATGAAAAAAATTAAAGTCTTATGAATCAAAAGTATCTATGCTGCTAGATATTAATTGAAGTTTTATCAATTTGTGCTATTTTATATGGCTTAGTCATAAATACCATAAATTAACTTTATTCAATTGTGTAGTGACTGGTATAACCAATGCTTTATGATTGAATATTACAATGACATCTTTTTCATATAGATCATGGTTTCATTTACACTTGGTAATAATTTGGTCAAATTTATTAAACAGACAAACAAACAAACAAACAAAAGAAACAGAAAAGCAAGGCTTTAGAGTAAAGTACTGTTGCCAAAATTAAATTCTGAAGGTTTTTTTTTTCTATGATCATAGAATGATTTGCTTTCATAATTTTTTTGTATGTTGTTATGTTCCAAATCATTAATAATGAAGGAGTGCTCAATCTTTCCTGATGAAGGATAGATGCAAGAATGATTTGCTTTTATAGTTTTTTGTATGTTGTTACATTCCAAGTCATTAATAATGAGGAAGTGCTCAATCAATCTTTCCTGATGAAGGATAGATGCAAGGAAGACCTTGTACACTAGCTTTGCAGGGACTAAAAAAATATCTGAATCTTGCGGTTTTGAAAATCCACAGAAAACTTTGAGAAAATCTGTCGGTCATGATCTATGTGTAGATTGCAGTAGCTCGTTGTCTACTTTCACGTCTAGCCCCACCCCGATTGGCATAAAATTAGCCACTCACAAGAATTTACATTGAGATTGATGATGTTCTGGCAGACGGTAAATTCATCTTCACATGTTACTCCCAAATGCTTCGCAATGTGTGGAAATCTGACCGTTCGATGAGGCTACCAGTTTTTGAAAGTATTCAATCAGGGAGTGGTAAGAATTACAAAAATAGCGTTATGTGCTATCATTTACATGCTATTATGTACTTTTCATCTTCCAAGAAATGAGCTGAGTCTCGCAAAGTTACTTGGATGTGTATCTGGAGTGAGCACTTGTTTATCTGTTGAAGTGAAAAATCAACTTTGGAGGCCTGAAGGTTTCCTTAGAAAATTTCAGCTACCTGCCATGAAGTCAATGTATTTTATTTTTGGGATTTGACCAATCTAACAAAGAATCAAGACCCACAACTAACAATAAAATATCAAGGAACCGGACGAACTAAATTCGCTAAAACATTGATACTACAATCACGCTAGTCATGATCCTGGCCAAGGTCCTACATTGGGAGACGCTTGAGGGAGCATAGAGGTGGGTGGAGCTGCAGATCAGTGATCATGAGGTGACTTTAATGGTTTCTGGGTGCCGAAGATGCCATTCTACTTGAGAAAAAATAAATAAAATAAAAAAACAAAGGCACTGTAAACAAATCTCACAACTTCAGCTCAGGCCCGCTCCACCAGAACGATCGCCCCTCCCTCGCACATCGCAGCCAGGATTGCGTATTCCTGCAGCCTAGGCGGTCTTTGGGCGGGAGGACTTGAAAATCAACAGAGCGGCGATGATGCTGGAGCCAAGGCCGGCGGCCGCGGTCACCACAGGACCTCCAAACTTGGTGCCGAATTGGGCCACATCTACCAGAGCGTCCAGTCGAAGGTAGAGGTCGAGGTACGCCTGCTTACCCAGCCCGTAGTACGCCAGTCTCATCGGGGCCAGAACCATTTGGTAGGCGCTCGGTATCCAGTGAGTCAGTCCCAACGCGTCGAAAGCACCATCCAGAAACCACTCACTGTGCGCAGATGCTGCGACGCCGTTCACGATTATGGTGCCCCCGAGAGTAAACGGATTGTACAGCCCCTGCTTCTCTACGGTGGATATGTCGGTCACGAGGTACGGGCTTAATTCCGCAGCATGAGTTGAAGCTTGAGCCCACATCATGTCCCCCACTCTCACGTCCTGGGCGCGCTTGTAAGTGATCTCAGACCCTGCGTGTTATACAGCCACCGGAATATGGTATTCAACACCATGACTTACAAGGCTTCTCTGATGCTATCGCCAGACATGGGATGAAAAATTTCATGATAATGGCAATCCAAGGGAGATTGGCTAGAGTGGAAGAGCGAACGAGCGGTGACCATGAAGTACCAGATAAGATTACAGTGAAATGCAGAGGGGTGAGCTCCAGTTTGGTGCTTTCAAGCGCAGGGTCGGACATGTTGGCACCCACGGGTTTCAAGCTCAGCTGGACGTAGTTTGCAGCTGCTAAAGCATCCTTGTGCCCGAAAGCGTAGATATCCTCGTAATCCAGACCACCATCGTGCCTTCTCACCGCCACCTGCATGCTCAGATTTTTGGGCGTTGTACAGATGATTAGACACTATTGATCTTGGCTCTGGCTCACGCTTACTTAATTGAATAGTTACTCAGCCCTCTCATTCAAGTGATCACTTGGGAGCCCTACAGATGGTAGCTATTGAAAGAAAGCTCTCTCGATCTAGAATCGATCAGAGACGTCAGGATACTGTTTGAAAACTCGCGCTGTAATGAATAGATCCAGACACCACATTTATGAGATACCTAGCTCGAACATGATAGATCTCGTAATATCTGAAGCTGTTGGCTGCAGATAATAACAATTCCAAGTGTAGCGAGAACGTTCATGTGCATGAGAACCGACTGGAAACCGTCCAGACACCAGACCACAAGGATCACATCCGAAGCCCACCAGCTGGTGGGCTTCTGCAGGCCATGACATATCACGTTTCACATAAATCACTCTCGAGCACAGTATTGAAAATACCTTGTCGCCCAAAGCCAGACTAGTCATGGGCTTGACCTCGCCGCCCGCTAAGAGCACCGTAGCATCACCTGCCAAAGCACGTAAAGTTAGCGATGGAGTCCGAAATGCCCGAATTCCTACATAAGCCGTAAGTGCTGGTTGATCGAGCCGCGCATCTGGGTCCATCACGCCCGTTGAAAAGGTCCACCGTGCCAAAAGCTGCGCAATGGAGGGGTGAAGCTCTGTACCTGGGAAGCAGCCGTTGGCTTCTGCGCAACCTACTGCAGCTCCACCGGCGGTGGCGACGCCAATGACCCCCGCCATACAGAAGGGATACAATGGGCCGAGGAACGGAATGCAGGCTTCCATCGACGTTATCGCTCCTGTCAATGCCCCCTTGGCGGCGCCCGTTTGGCAGTTGTCTCCTTGCAGAAGTTTCCGGGCTAGGAGATTCCGCGCCAGCAGCCGACGCCGAGCTCCTTGGTTATACAATGCTGTCACATCTGGGCCTGTAAGGTATATCCCGCAGCCCGTTGACCCTGCGTTGTTGGGGCACACCACCTTGCGCAGGAATTTCAACTTATTAAAAAATCATAGGACACATATTTTGGGGTCACCGTACGAAGGAGCTTCAGTTGAGATTGGAGTTTTCTGGGTTTTAAGGAGTCAGTAGAAGGGCGGGTGCTTACTGCGCTCTGGCGGCCATTGTTGTCAACCATGACCGCTTGGGTTCCTGACCCGTCAGCCGCCGCTCGACACCCGCCGACGTGCGTGATCTGCAGCAAACCGCGAGAGTGAAGATCAGTCTCGAGAGTTTCGAGTCCGACCGTGCCAGATTCATAACCCTCCAGGCCGCAATTAAGGAATTCATGGTCATGAGCCCAGGGCGTGTGATTCCACCCATCTTACCGTTTGCTGAAGAGTTTCGGTTTCGCCGGTGGTAGCAGTCAGTGTCGCGCTGAAGGTCAGAGCGCCCGTGCTTACGATTTGATCGCAGACGGCATTGACGTCACTGGATGAGACCACGCCCCACATTAATGCCTTCGTCGTAGAACCCAGCAAAGAGCTGGCAATTTGGCTGCCGGTGCCGATGAAGGTGTTGGGAGTCCCATCGGCATGGGGCGGACCGAAAGTTGTGACGCTGATGGCCAGCTGAGCCCCTACGAGCACTCCTGCCTGATGCGTCAGGACCAGGAGAAAGGCCAGGGGCAGCAGCATCCTAATCATATTGAGAGTTCTACTACCCTCCTACTGCAATCGAAATATCGTCAGACCCACGCGTAAATGAACTGAATCGGCCGCTACAGTGTGGTTAACTTCCCAAACTACGTCAGGATCAATCGAAAGAGATCTTGATGAAACGATGGTGTCTCCTGGCTGGTGAGATGACCACGCTTAAGCTTGCGGCTGGAGCTCTGCAACTGGAGATAGAATTCAATCTCTGGTCGATTCTTTTATAGAGGGGACGTTGATGACGCGGTCCCTTGCACTTCGGCCTTTGACCCACGAACCCTTCAACACCAGACAGTCGTCCCTCTCTTGACGTAAGTTTTGGTTGAACTCACCTTCCAATCAACATTGTCCATACGGTCAACCCTTTCTAAAAGGGTTTAACCCGAGTTAATCTTGCATTGCTTTTTTGGGGGACCAGGACGACGGTAGCTTTGATTTAATGCTGCTTTGTATGGTGTATTATTTATATATATACACATACATACATATCTAAAATATGAAGTTAATATTTCAAGTGTTGTTGTAAGTGATAGGACATAATAGACTATCAAATGTGGAAAATGTTGATGGGTTTTTCAGCTTTTAATTTTTCATTTTAAAGTTATAGTAATTAATTTAACTTTTAAATTTTTATGTTACTAATTTGATACCAATAAATTATATGAAAAAAATTAAAATATTTCTTTAGTGATCAATATTGGTCTATTCAAAAAAGTATCATTAAAAACCATAATCATAGATTACCAAATATATTATATAAAAAATAAAAAGCATAACACATAAGAATCATAAGAGTTTTTTTTATTTGGGAGAAACACCAATAAGGTTGCTGTCACTATTATTTCAAATATAAGTATTTCACTCTAGTAGTTATTATACAATTGCTTGCAAACTAAATGCAAATCTAGAACATTTTTTTTAGAAATCATAACCAAATTATCGTAATTATTATTTTTTAAAATAAATAACAATAAGACTATAAGTCTCTCTGACAAAAATACAAACATTATAATAATTAAAAAAAATTGTGAAAAAATCATAATAGGTGGAATTTTCTACATGTACTACTATTTTGAAGAAATGACAAAGGTTCCAATACCATAACAAAAATAATAAAAATAATACTAGAAATAATAATAACATGTAAAGAATGAACACAAAACATGAGAATTACAGAAACTTTCATATGCCTACATGGGAAAGAGATTGCTAAGCTCATATCAACTGCTTTTATAACTCCCGAACACTAGTAATGTCATACTTGCTAACAAGCAAGACAAGATATAACATGCCCAACTTGGAACTGATCCAAACAAGCATGTCACGAGGCGTTGCTGAGATAACGACGATGAGGATGTCGACGAGAATGACAATGTTTACAAGATCTGGCAATCCTCGTTCCGAACATGAAATGAATCCACAGCTTCCTCTCTGCACCTACGCGCCACGGCACTTTGTCATGGCATGCAGCCCAATATTCACGACTTGTGGTAGGTCTTTGATACCAAAAGACAGGCTTCCTTGTCGTCTTTCTTTCACTAATTGCATGGGTCCCCGACGACCGTCTATTGACGGACCAGGTCTGACGCCTGTGAACCGAGCCCATCATGCACGCAAATGCCATTGGAGTTACGATGCTGGTATTGTTGAGATCTCCACGTGATTCCATTCGCATCGAGTCGACCATTTTCTTTTCTAGAAGTATTCATGGATTATTTTATTAAGGCAATTGTACCACACTATATACACTTATTTTATATTTATATATTTATACATATATATACACACATATAGGTTTATATATTGTATATAATTCAGTGGATTTTGATTCAAGAATTCATTAGCATATTTAAAGTTGATGCATTACTATTCTATATGTTGGAATACAACTTGTAAAAAATTTCAATCTTTAATTGATCTACAAATTGTTGTGATAAATACTACTTGTTTCTGTTATGTTTAAATACTTTACAAAAATAAGATGAAAATACTAATATATGTGTGTGTGTTGAAAAAAGAAAAAAAAATAAAAAAATAAAAAAAACATCAATTTTCCATCTTTTATGTAATAAATAGTATATTTTCAATAACTACTGAATTGTTTTTATAAAGATTTTAGTATTTACATTCAATTGCTAAATATTTTAATAAAAATTTAGATACTCAGTAAGTCATTATTGAATTTCATTTTGATTGCTATTCTCCTAAAACATACATCAGACACAAATATTTGACTATTATTTTACCTATCAAAAAATAAATTGCCAAAAAAAAATTGCATTAAATTATCACTGCATTGGAATAATGTTTTATAAACTAAAAAAAGTATAAAGCAAGGAAAAAAGATTGATATATATATATATATATATATATATACATACTTTAGAAAATTAGGGAAGAAAATAGAATAAACGAAGAAACAAGATTATTAAAATACTCATTGTCAATTTTTAAACTATAAAATAATGACTTTTAGACTTTAAAAATTAGATTTTTGAACATAGCGCTATTAAGTGTTTTTTATTTTTTAAACTCGTTGCAACAAGTGCATTACTGTGATTTTTTGCCACATAAAAATAACAACAATAATAATGCATGAACTAAAAGATCTTGATTTATTTTCATCATTTACAAACTTCGTTTGCAACTTAAATTTGACGTGTTAAGTAGAAACGATCAATCTCTCATTATGAAATTATAATTGAACATAATCGATATTAATAATATCTGGAGTAATATAACAATAACTGGAAAATAAAACACAATTTTTTTTAAACCTAAATATCGGCGATATGTAACTGACTTCAAAACGAAAAATTCGCAATTTCAAAAGTGATTCCTTAAAATTTACTCAAAAATTATTAAAATACCAAATTCTGATTATTTTAAAAACCAGAGCCTCAGCATTTGAAAGGAGGAAAAGCTAATTAAGAACCATTAAAAACTTGGCAAGATGGTCTCATCCATTTTTGGCTCAAAACGGACAAGAAATTTGGTGGGTTTACTATGGACGTGGCTTTGTTACCCAAAGAGCAACTGATTAAATCGGGGAATTATATTTAAACTTTATGTACCTAACCGTCACCGACGTCCTTATCCAATCTGTGGCTGTAGTTTAGTGGTGAGAATTTCACGTTGTGGCCGTGGAGACCTGGGCTCGAATGGGCTGCTGGGACTAATAGGGTCTTTTCTGATGAACATTGCGTATTGAGCGAAGGATTCGTAGCCGAGTAGAAGTTTTATAATAATATGATATTGACGACCAGGTAAACCCTAATAAAATTAATTGCGGCAATTACAACCAAACCCCACATATCAACTTTAACATGAAATTGTTTAACTTTAAGAACTATTTTTCAGACATTCTCGAACAAAGCATAAGAGCCCTAGTCATCAAGAAATTTTTGAGGTAGGTCTCAATAACTTCTGTTCTAAAAGATAACTTCACCTTCACAAAACACTACACAGAATGCTCGACTTTCACTTGCCAGTTCTTAGAGGCGAAGCAAAACTACAATATGGGAGTTGGGTGTGCTGCCAGCCTGGCCAACTGTTAGTTTCTACAAACTCGCCTATGATATCTCAGAGCAAATAACCAGAAAACATTTGTAAAGTTTTCTCTCGAACACTTCCCTCAGAATTGAGCGTCAATACAAAAACCCATGCACAATCTGCTCCAAAATAATCACGCTTACGAGGCTTCTTACCCTACAACGCGTTCAGTTGATCCAAATGATCTCATACAACAATTGGTGATAGACTGACCAGTATATCTAAACTAAGGATGCCCTCTTCGGAACAAACATAATCGATACATAAATAAAACAGAGTCTTCATCTAATAATCCTCGTCACTGCCGCCGTAATCTCCATCAGACAGTTCGTCAAACGTCCGCATATCCAGCTGATAGCGCAAAATGCCTCCAATACCACCGAAACCTCGACAGAACTGTGACCCTTCCTGTGGACGACACACAAAAATGATTCCAAAGGTTCATGATTCGCCTCGAAGATTCATTACGATGATAAAAAAACGAAAGTAAGAAGAAGCTCTACAACTAAAGCATTTCAGCACTCTAGGTGATAACTCGCATTTAACGCACCTGCGACTTGTTCGTCACGAATTCTAACGTGCAGCCGAACCGCCTATACTCGTTTGCAAACCACTCCAAAAGCGACAGCTTTTCCTGAACCTCCAATTCTGCCTGCGTTTCAGCGTCCCTGAAGCTGCAAAGATCCGCAGTAAATAGTCAAATTGCTGTTTCCTAGAATTCGTTTTTCTTATTACTAAGAAACTAATTGCATCGTGACCCAAGAATGAGAATCTCTCCAACACTCCAATGAATCATTCACATTTTAATCTCTGTATCACACAACCACCGTGAGAATAAAAGTACAACGACGATCGGATCCTCAGCAACCTGCTTACTCTGCAAACCCTCGCCCAAGTACAACAGTGGGTAATTACATTCAACACTTGCTAGTAAGTAGCGTCCAGTGGAACACAGATTCTCGCGTTCCATATGAACCCAAATTTCGGAATCCTCTGTGATGCGAACTAGATGTGGCTTTTCAATAAGCAGCACCCTCTTCACAAATTCTTGATCGAAAGTACAGAACGAAAGAAACCCGAGAACTAGATCTTACTTCGATTGATCCGCTTCTTGTTCTTTGTTCAGATGCTTGATCACCACCTCTCCTGTCACTGCATTCTTTAGAGAGTATCGATTCGTTTCCAAATTCTCCCACACGATCAAAGTCTCCACGGCACCCATCTCCAAAGCCTTCAACGTGTCGTCGATTCCAAACACGTATTTCCCTGTGTCTTGGCTGATCTCATCGAAGTACTTCCCTATCAACCTCTTTTCCTGGATAAACTTGACGTTCGCAAGAATCTCAGCTGAAAGCTCGATTGCCTGGTTGAAACCGTTGTCTCCTCCGTAGGAAACATCCACCACATTCAGCACCTTCGCTTGCAACCTAGGATCGAACATGTCGGACTGACTCAATTCCGTCTTGAAATCCGCTGAACCTGCAAGGATCAAACCTGCATAGACCACAGCCAACCAAGTCGAGATGCTTCATTAACTATTTACTTGTAGAGCAAGTGTTAGCTCCACCATCTTCCGACAAGAATCTGTCGAACTCATTCGAATCACTACTTCACAGCAGTATCATTTGTTACGATTTCACGAAAAAAAGGGGAGCAATCCAGCGCTTTAAGAACTTCCAAAAACAATAAGACTTCCAAATCGTCAAACCTGATACATTAGGCTGACTCGTCGCTGGATTGATGTAAAACTGAGTCGCCAGCTCGGCCGTTTTTCTGACATAGTTGTGACGCTTCTCCATTCGCAGCCTGGCAAAACGAAGGGCAGATTGCCCTCCACGACCGTGTTTCTTTGGCAAATCCACCGTGAACTTATGCAGCACCTCTCGCGTGTTCCCGCTCAGAGTTCCAAACAAGGTACCATTACCATCCATCACAATAAACCCAAACTTGTCATCTGATTCCAACAGCTCGTTCAAGGCTTCTGTGTGAAACTTATTATCACAAAGATAAAGAGAAGCATTGATAGGCTTGAAGGGCTCGAAATCGATCGTTACCTACATAAAACATTGCAAAGTCAGACATCTTTTGCAATTCCAACAATTATCACAACAGACCTACGCGAAAATAGTACATAGCCGACATACACATGGCTCCATCATAAAAAATAAGGAAAAATACAGAGCAAGAGACAGTACTTTCTTCTCCTTGCCATCATCCGTGACAATTGTTCCCGTGTACAACACAAGCCCGTTGGGCGGGACTTTGTTGTAAAGCTTCAACCTCTGCTGCGCAGAAGTGATGGCTCCCAACACGGACTGCCTGTTCACCCTATTCTTAATGTTGGACGCTGTTCCAAACTCGTCTCCAAGCATCTTCGTCACTCGAGACACCTGATCCCTGAAACCGCCGCATCTCTCATCAGTGCACAGAATTCCGAGAAGCCACCCATAACCAGAAACAGATCCCACATGTTTTCCACTCTTTTATTATCATCACCAAAAACTCTACCCTACCCCACACAGCACACGTGACCACAGATCTTTCACCAACACAGCATTCTAAACCAACAACAGAACTTTAATTAGAGATAATAAAATAAAAAAAAAATGACGCACCGTCGCACAACCCCGGCGTAAACCACTCAATCTCAGAACCACTAACAAAGCCAATTCAGAAACCCTAATTTCACCATGGCAATTCAAAAATCACCATTCACTACCACTATAATCACAAAACTCCGGAAACAATTCCTTCCCTTCGAAATTTCGCTTCTAATGATAAAAAAACAAAAGCGAAAAAAGGGATAAGGAAAAAAAAAACCTGGGCGGCATGATGAGTGAGATCATGGACGTGCCGTTGCCGCGGGCGGACTCCAACGCCTTGATGAGCTTCTTAATTTTCCATATCTCGATGTTCTTGTCAGTTTCTACGCCGCTTTCCGACATTTCAACTGCCGCTCGTCACCAGGCGAGCACTGTCGAATTCGAGAGGGAAGGACGCGACGCAGCAGGATGAGGAGGAGCAAACAATCAGCGCTGCTTCTCGATTCACGCAGCCACGAGAATGGTTTCTAAAGCAGAGATCTCTGTAGTTCGATGACAGGCGATGGAAGGCCTTGTCGATGGAGCAGGACGAAGGCGGCTGGTCGGTTCTCTTGCCTGGTAGGTTCTCTTTACCACTTGGTCGGTAGTTGGATGTATGATACATTTTCTATGAGGATGAATGAAGGTCTTTAACGGATCGACTGCAGTGAGCTTCTGAATTGAAGATTTTATTTCAGAAGATCGAACTGGAATTTTTCCAAAGCTATAATACATTTTATTTTGTAAATCTATTGTAATATTTTTTTTAAAAAATTCTCGATTACTGATTAACGAACAAGGAATTGATTCATGATCAATTTTTTATCATTGTAATCTATTTATTTATTCCTCATTATTTTGCAAGATTAAAGTAATTTTTTTTTTGGTGTTTTCCCATTTGGTAATAAAGGTATTTCTTTTCATGAGTATGATTAAGTTTCAAAGTGAAATACAGAATACATTTTTCATAATATTTCTACTATATTGTTAAGTATAAGTTTTCTACGGACATGATTATAAAAAAATAAAAATACACTTAAATTTTTATAAATGAGGATTTTTATTTTAAATATATAATTATTTAGAATAATTTATATGTCGATAAAATAGATAAAATTATCAATCTTGGCTATACTTATAATTACTGTATTACTTTGAACCAAATTTTCTAAATTTAATTTAAGTATAAGAAACTGAAAATAAAATTAAAAATAATAAAAAATACAAATATTAAATATTAAATATTAAAAAATTGAAAAAAAACATCAAATGTATATTTATATACATATTTTAAAAATAAAATAGAAAGTAGAGAAATGTGAACAATAACAAGAGTTATGAATTTTAATATTAAATAAACATAAAAATAAAACTTAATATTATTAATAATTTATTATAAAGTCTTAAGGGTTTTTTTACATAAAAATTCTTTACAATATTTTATTTCATATTTAAAATATATATTATGTATACAAGGTTTAAGGTTTAAATTATGAACAGAAAATTAAAATGAATAACTCCCAAATCTACTATATGATTGGCACATTGAAAGATGCCAAAAAATAGATATTTGGTTGACATAGTAAACTATAGAAATAATTTCTAGCAGTATTGTGTCACAAGTAAAATTTCTAACCTAGTAAAGGCTTGAGCTTAAGCATCTATAAGGATGTCAGAGATTAATTTCTCTGCCTATAGGAATAAACGCAAGGTTGTGCAATAAACCAATTGGAAGATTGCATTAAGTTGAAGGCTACAATATCTAGAATAAAGGAAAAGTAAACACAATAAATGTGTGTTAGTTGGTATATTTATTAAAATGTTGTTAAAGTGTTTTGTAGATGTAAAGATAAAATTTAATATATTTTAATTTATTTTTTAAAATATTTATAAAAATAAACATATTTTTTATATTCCAAAAAAAATTATAGATAAAAAATAATGAAATAGAATTTTATAAAATTTTCAATATAATTATCTTAATGAGTCTAATATTTCAGATGTTTTAATTTTTTGCATTATTTTTTCTTTATTATTGCTTAGTTTTTTTTAAGTCAATTTATAAAATTATCTAATTCATTTTTATTTTTTATATTCGAAAATTATATAATAGTACTTAGTAGGTAAGACAAGTATGAGATTTTATTTTAGTAATTTGTGATTTTAATCAGATCCTTAGTTTATTAGAAATAAATTTGTGTTTATAAAAAATTACTATTATCTAGTAAATTAGAAAATTTTAATGAAAAATTAGATAAAGATTTAAAGCTCTTATAAAATCAAAGGCTATATATGTATTTAATACTATGATAAAGTAAAATTTATCAAATAAAATAAAATAAAATAAAATAAGAAACAAATGTGACTAGTATGTAGTAGAAGTTTTGATGCATTAGTCCTATATAGGTTGTAGTAATTTAGAAGTAAATAGAAATCTAAGATGTAAGCTTTAAGGCTCTTCTATGGCATCTTTTATATTATTTATGATCCTTTCTAGAGCTAAAATTCTTAACTAAATAAATAAATTATCTATAGAATAAATTATATAAAATAACTTATTAATTTTTAAAAACCATTTATTATAAATTATTTATAGTGAATTTAATTTATATTATTTTAGAATTTTTATAAGAATAAAATAATAATTAATTTTATGAATCTTATTATTTATTAAATAAAAATCTTATATAAAAATTGTATATCTTTTTAATTTTTAATTTTTTAATTTATTTTATTTTTTCATCTTCTTTAACTATTTATAAAAAGTCTTAAAAATAAATAAGAAAAATTATTAATTAATATCATATTATAATTTGGATTGATGGATGAATTTTATTTATATTTCACTAACATCATAATTATTTACTTTCTAGATTCTAATCAGTTAGACTCTCTCTAAAGTAACATCTAAAATATTATTAGAAAATATTAAAAATAATTATTTGTTTCTTATAAAAATTTAAAAAATCACCCAAACACATGACTAAGTTTCTTTCGATGCATAAATGATCTTATTTGTACAATTTTTATGCTAAACTTTTTAACTTTTATATCTACATGAAGAAGAATATAATATAACTTTGGAATTCAATATAAAGATTATGGCACTAACAAAAAGCTTTGAAAGATGTTAGAAATATACAAAAATCTAACCAAATCCATCCAAAGTATTGTCACAATCATCATCCATATTAGTTGGTTAATCAATAGATATAAACAAATAAATAATAATAGATGAAAAAGAAAACGAAATCTAAAAAGAAGTTAAAAAAATAAAACTATTAAATAATAAATATTATCTATTATTTATTTTAATTTTTTAATATACCAAATAAGTAAATTACGTATTTATCAATATCTTCCAAAATAGTGTTAAAATTTAAAAAATTAAAATTAAAATTTTAAATATAGAATTATGGATTTTCAAAATAATATATAAGATATCAATAATACCTATATTTATTTTTGGTATATGGAATTAAACCAAAATATCTAATGAATTTGAAATCTTTTTTAATGCATATTATTATTAATTTAATGTTAAATAAGTCTTAGTCTTTAAGTAGATATTTGGAAAATTTGGAAGTATTAAATAAAAATCCTCAAATAAGTGAACATTACATAGAAGCCATTTGATATATATTTTTTAATTAATTAATTAATTAATTATATTATATTATATTATAATAGATGTTTAAATTACTTAAATATATAGAATTAAATATAAATAAATAAAATTCTGGAGAAACATGTGGAGAGATAATGTCTTCTATAAGAAACTTTAAAAATTGTTTTTAGTTACAAATTTGATGTTTAGACTTTTATAGATATACCAAGTAGTTATTGAAATTTGTCCAAAAGGTTTTTATTTTTATAAAGTTGTATAAGAAGGAATCTACATCTTAATGCATGCAATTCCTAAGTTCCATTAAGTATTTTGATTAAAATTTTCAATAAATCATATTCTAAATTAAATATTAAATTTATTTTTTAATATAATTATTTGAAAAATTATAATTTTTTCTTTACTATTAATTTCTATAATTTTAATTAATATAATGATTGATGCTATTAACTTCTATAAGTCCTTTTTTGTAGCTAGTATATATAGAAGTAAGACTAAAGGTTTTTATAAAAACAACTTAAATCAGATTATTTAGTGTAAATAGAAAAATTTAAAATATTATGCAAGAAATTAAATTAAAGTGTTCTTTTGACAATCTTACCATTAAATGAAAACATGAAAACAAGCAAATGTAAATAATTGAAAAAATTAATAGATGGTAGTACCACAAGTTGTAATATTCAATGGCATAGGTTTGTGCTAGTGTATATATATATATATATATATATATATATATATAGAACTTAAAGGCTACCAAATTTTGTAGCAAGTTGCATGATTTAGATTATAAAGCCAATAAACCATACTTAAATTATTTTAAAAACTTTATTTTAATTTCAAATAAAATAATTCTTAGCTATTAAAAAAATTAATTTTAAGAAATTTTAGCAATATTAACATTTGTATTAATTAAATATTTTAGTTTTCATGGACATATCCATATAAATCAATAATTACCTATATAATTAGATAGAAATAAATAAAAGTAAGTAAAAGGAAGTTAATTCCATAATATCTTCTAAAAAAAGTTCCTAGAAGCTTTATAGACACTGCTTTGACTTCATAGGTATCCATAGTTGATTTTTAGGTTAAAATACTTAGTCAACGAGTTAGCCATGTGCCACATATATTGATAGCTTAAAGAACAAGCTAATTATGTGGTGCATACATAAAAAACTTGCCTTACAAGCTAAGACATGTATCTTACAAAGTCAACACATATTAGAAGTCTTATAGAACATTTTCATATAGCTTCTACTTAGATAATATATATAGAGGTAAGAGCGAAGCCTTCTTCACTCTTGACAATTCTTTTCTTGCTTCTTGTTTAGATTCAAGAGTCTCAAGTTTTCTTGTCTTTTGGCAATAAGCCATTCTAGTCTCTTTTTAATATATATATATATATATATATATATATATATATATATATATATATATATATATATATATATATATATATATTTCACTTTTTCTTTGACATGGATTTCATTGGTTTATGCATCATCTTTTAGTTCATGTTCTTAATAAATTGACAAGAATATACTTACAATATGAGAGCTTTGTCTTGTTTTGATTAAGAGTAGATTATCCTTTTTTCATGATAAGACATAAGCATATTAGAAGTTGTGGATTACCTTGTTCTAAACTAATATTATTTTTAATATTTTTTTTTGTCTTCAAGTCCTTTCTTTTTCTTGTCTTGAGTGGTATTAGATTTTTTTTTTTGAGTGTTATTATAGAAAAACTTGTTGAAATGAAGAGTGCAATGGAATAAATGCAAGAGCAATTGAAGGAGTTAATACTTACAATGCATCAATTTAGCTTACCACCATAGGAATCAATAAAAATGGCAGGAAGTGACAATATAGAAATGATTAGAATTGCTTCAAC